CCCATGAGCTACTGCACGCAGAGCTCTGCAGGCTCTGGTGTGAGCAGATTTCTCCAAACAGAGCTGGAATGGGCTGTGCTTGGGGAGGGGGAATCTACGGCTGTGACATACCCAGTTGCTGAAGACAGGCTCTGTCCTAAACCTCCACCAAGCACAGATCTACTTTTCTCTTGCAAATAATGGGCTGTCTGTCTTTCAGATCACAGAACTTCTCCAGCTAATGAGTCAATTTAAAGAAATGGGCTTTGAACTAGAAGACATTACGGAGGTCTTATTATTACATAACAACGACCAACACAACGCTTTGGAAGATCTAATGGCCCGTGCAGGAGCCAGCTGAAACACATTCCTGGGTTCTGGGTGTGCAGAGGAGCAGGACCAGCCCCACCACCTGCACATCCCGTGTGACTCGCTCCCAGCGGGAAGGAGTCCGGCTTTTCGAGTACGCGGGGGAGTGACTGAGTGAGCCCGCCCACGTGCATCACTCCAGCATTTCTCTTTCCACTGAGGGCCAACTTTCTTCATTAAATTTTAAAGTGTCCTTTCCTAAGTTTCTTTTTTCCAGCTTGGCCACGGAGAGTTCAGACTGCCCAGCCTCTACTGGAGTTGTACATAGGTAGAGATGGAGTGGTTCCCCCCTCACTGTTGCACTGGAGTTGGACAGAAGAATATTAAGTTGGTTCTGAAACTAAGATGCTTTGGTTCTTTGAAGCTGCTTTCACGGTGTCTTGTCTGCTTGTACTGAATTACTTGACTGTGTCACAGTCCAGATTAACTGGTTAAATTTGACCTTTAGTGCAATGGAGTTTTATTTTTTGGTTGAAAGTTAGTCTGTAACTTAGTAAAACACTGGTTCAGAAACTGTCACTATGCATAAAGAGAGACCCTGTTCCTCTTGGTTTTTGTTTCTCACCCATGCATCCAACACTTCTGGCAGACATGAGCGTTCAATGCTGAGTGGTGTGTAAGTTCCCTTGAAGCAGGTAAGCTGTGAACTCTACCTGGACCTGTGACTTGTGCTGGTTCTCGAACCTGAAGGCAGAGAGCTGGGGCTCAGTATTCATAATCCCCCCAGGCTTGTAGGATATTTAAGACAATGCCCTGCTAGGAAATCTGTTATCTTTTTGTTTTAAATAATACTCAGTGTGATGCAGGAGGTTTCTTTCAAGCACTTTCTTTAAAACAATATACTCACTGCATTAGTTCCATTTTTCACACTGCTATAGAGTTACATAATAACATCTAGTACTACAATCAGGTTTGGGGATGTTTTTGATAGTTGAAAGTATTATGTTGTACATTGTTCAACTTTTAAATACATAAAATATCAGCAGTCTTGGAGGAATCTCTAATTTGCTAAATATTTTAATTCTGCAGAAGAGCAACTAATAAAACCCTCAAATATAACTCCCAGTGTCATGGTTCCCATCTCTTGTGCTCTTTGGCTTCAGCAGACAAAGACCCTTCAGGACCTTCCCCACTCCTATGGGCACGTGGGAACACTGATGGGCAGAGCCACCAGAGGTGTCTGGGACACAGCTGCAGGGGTGCAATGTGCTGTGCTTTTCTGTGGCTTGTTTCTGGTTTGTTGCAGAAACCAAGCCTGGGGATACAAACCCATGTTAGAGCGTGGAGCTGAAGCACTGGACTTCTGGAAAGGGAAACAGCTCAGCCCATTGCTGCTGTTGGTTTTTCAGTAGGAGGTTTTATCTCATCAGGGCCCTGAATGAGATGGGATTTGTCTCCATTATGTTGTTAACTTCCCATGATGAAAACATCTGATTTGAGCCCAGTGTGAACTCCTAGAATTCTCTGTGAGGTGCCCAATTATGTTAATTACATACCTGTACTTAAAATGATGCTAAGGAGGGATGTAGCTGGCAAGTGTCTAGGAGATGTGGAGAGGGATGATGATTAGGACCAGGGCAGATTGCCTTGCACATATCTCATGATGTTGAACTTTACCTGCTTCCTAGTGTTGGGGCTGAAATGAAAACTTGTCTAAGAAGAGCACTTGGTTATGTTGCTTGTTTGGTTTTCTCAGAAATGACACCCAAACAAGTCTCCATCTGGCACTAGACAGTCCCAAACAGGCAAGAAGTCTTGCCAAAGAAGATGCAACTGTTTAGACCAAACCTCTGAATAAAATGATCTCTTTCATTGTGTTAGTGTATGTTGTTTTTTCACAGTTCCCCCACAGGCTCTGGCTCTTCACACCACTACAGAGACTGTTGTAGAGGTGAGAGCAGGGTGGTGAAGATGGGAAGTGATACGTGTGCAGATACTCTCCTCCTTCCTGAGAGACATACTCACTTGTGTCTTCCCTCGTGATGTCACTCTTGCTTTGGGCAGTGTGGTTTCTGGACTTAGGTCACTGGGTGGCTGAAGCCATGGTGTTTTCCTGGGGTGGTATGTCAGAGAAGGAAAGACCACGGAGTGAGGGGAGTGTTGGTATCTCCTGGCTGTGCAGCACCTTCACGCATGTCCATGTTATTGCCAAGGATTTTCACAGCCAGGGCTGGGGTTTTTTTAAAATTTTAGTCAAGTCTCACCTTCAGCA